CTTTTATTGAAGCTTGGTTAACTGAAAAAACTCCATAAAACCAGCAGAAACAACCCTCTCCCCTCCCTACTATCTTGTTGTTCAGTCACCAAGTCGTGTCCAACTCTTTGCCACCCCCATGGACTGCAGCACACCAGACTTCCCTGTCCTTTACCATCTCTCAGAGTTTGCTCAAACTCATGTCCATTGAGTCGGTGATGCCATCCAACCATCTCATCCTCTGTCGTCCCAATCTCCTCCTGCCCTCAATCTTTCCCAGCATCAGGATCTTTTCCTATGAGTCAGTTCTTCCAATCAGGTAGCCAACGTATTGGAGCTTCAGCACCACTCCTTCCAATGAGTATTCAGGGTTGATTTCCTTTAGGATTGACTGGTTTGACCTCCTTGCAGTCCAAGGGACTCTCAAGAGTCTTCTCCAGCACCATACTGAATTAGTCCCCTAAGGTTGCTGTAGCAAAGTACCCCAAACTGAGTGGGTTAAAAAGCAGAAATGTAGAATTTTGGGGGTCAGAATAATTTCCTAGGTAATGATAGAAGATGTAGCAGTGAGGAAACATCCCAGGAAAAATACCTCCCGTCCTAATATCCTGCCCCATACAGTCACCTTCCAGGATATGAAGTGAGCTGAGCAGGCTATGGGGTGGAGAGGGTGAACTGTAAAATGAAGCAGTTGAGGGCAGACCTCGGGACGGTAACTGAGGTGGAAGGAAAATAAGCAACTTGAACACATATCTTCATGTGCTAACTGACAGTTGTTAATCATTGTTTTCAAACCATCTCTTCAATTTTTTTTTGGCCCATGTTTTCCAATGAAGTAACTGTCTTTTTCTTACTGACTTATAGGCACTGTTTACATATTCTGCATGTGAGCCTTGTGAAATGTGGATATTGCAAACATGAAAATATATCTTTTTTTTTTTGGAAAGTGCCAGAGTCTTAACCACTGGGCTACCAGGGAAGTCCCTGTTTAGCTTGTTTTTAGAGAGACTTCTGCACGTGTCCAGGTGGAGATGGTGGTGACTTCCACCAGGATGGAATGGTGATGGTTAAGAAAAAAAAGAAGATCAGATTCAGGGTACATTTTCAAGGGAAAGCTGACAACTTGCCGTTCGATTAACTGTGAAAGAAAAAAATCAAGAGTAAGTTTAAGTGTTTGGTTGAAGTAAACAAATAGTGCCATTTACTGAGGTGGGGACAGGCAGGGGAAGACTTTGGGGGCAGCTGAAATCGGGGGGGGGTGGGGGGAGACGTGGTCATAGCTGTTTTTGGAAACTATGACCCACTGTGATGTTGCTTTAATTAAGAAGCATGTAAAATATGACCCCCCAAATTAATTTTTAAATGTCCATGAAGAAAATAGAGAATGCTAAGTTAATAAATGAAAGTTGAATTTATTATTTTTTTAAATAGCAAACCCTGGTCTAGTGACCACCACCCACTCAAGCTGTATAAAATAAGACGGGAAATTTGAAAGGGGACTCCTTCAGTAGAATTACCAAGAAACTTATCAGCTGAGTAAAGTAGTATGGCCTTCCATTCCATGGGTACCAAACCACAAGAAAGGGGTCCCAAGAGCACCACCCAGAGAGACCGCAGGGGTCTGCAAGGGGATGTGAGGTAGTCGTCTGCTAGAGCCGTGCATGAACCTGAGGCATGTTGAACCTGAAGCAGGTTGCTCTAGCTCACCCTCTGGTGACATAAAACACATGTTTTATGGTAAGAGAAGAAAAATTTAAACATAAAAATGCTTCTCTGAGGAAAAAAAAATGCTTCTCTGCCCTTTGACCTCCCCTCTCCCCACACTGTGCATCTGTGTCTGTATTACCCATCAACCAAACCTCCCCCATGGGCAGGAATACCTGCTCAACCATGAAGGGCCATATTCTCCCAGCAACATTGAGACAACTCCTTGAAAGATAATATTCCTTCTTGATCTTATAAGGGATCACGTGACCCTGGATGACCCAGGATGACTCTAAGATCTGGATTATGTAAACTGTCAATAACATGTTATTTGATGTACAAGCCACTGTCTCAAAAAAAAAAAAAGAACCAAAAAACAGTTTATATAACTATGCCTTGATTTCTAACCAATGGAACAGTTCTCAGACTTTTCTGAGATGCTCTTCTTGGGTTAAGTACTAAATCACTCCAGTCGTGTCCAACTGTGGACTGTAGCCCGCCAGGCTCCTCTGTCCATGGGATTCTCCAGGCAAGAATACTGGAGTGGGTTGCCCTGTCTCCCTCTAGGGTACCTTCCCGACCCAGGGATCAAGCCCGCGTCTCTTATGTCTCCTGCATTAGCAGATGGTTCCTTTACCACTAGTGCCACCTGGGATAATCCTCAAATTTGTCTTGAATACAATTTTTCATTTCTTTCTTAGATCCACTGATTAATTTTTTCTCAACACCACTTTGAAATTGGGTATGACTACATAACTTGCTTTGTCACCAAAATGTGAGTGGCAAACGTATTTTTCGGTATGTATCCATTTTTGGAGCATCTTCCCAATTCTTAGGGTATTCTTTTATTACCTTTTCTTGAACCAATCCCCTTACGAACATAGTGGCCAAGTCGGTATTCGGTGATCCCCTCCCATGGCCTCAGGTAACTGACTCATGGCAGATGCCTCACTCAAAAATCAATCCAATTGAGCTATCAGATTGTCTTTTCCGGGAATGCCAAACTGTGGCAGAAAGACACTAGGAGTCTTGAAATGAGCCTTCTATTTCACCATTATCTCCTTGGTCCACCATCATAGGGTGCTGGGAATGTTACAGTAACCTTCTGACCGGTCTCTTTTTCTTCACCCTTGCCCCTACAGTCTTACCTCCACATAGAGGACAGACAATGTCCACACAGCGAATCAGATCATATGTGTGTATGGCTGTGTTCAGTCCTGTCCAACTCTTTGTGACCCTATGGACTGTAACCCGCCAGGTTCCTCTGTCCATGGGATTCTCCAGGCAAGAATACTGGAATGGGTTGCCATTTCCTCCTTTAGAGGATTTTCCTGACCCAGGGATTGAACCTGCATCTCCTTCTACTCCTGGATTGGCAAGCAGACCACTGAGGCACCTGGGAAGCCCCAAAGCAGATCATATCATGCCTCTAATGAAAGCCCTTTGATGGCTTCCCATTGGTCTTAGAATAAAACCCAGAGTCCTTATTATCCTGGTCGATGAGGCATTTCATAGTCCCACCCTGCTAACTTCTCCATTTATATCTGTCTCCATGTGCTCCAGTCACACTGGTCTCATTTCACTAGACTCCCCTCTGCCACAGGACCTTTGCATGTGGGATCTCAAGTGACGTGGAGTTCATGTTGGCTTACTTCATGCCAAGTTATAAAAGATTTTGCAAATACAGAGAATAATCTGTTCAGTTTGTTACCCAGTTACTTATGACTGCCCAACAGATCGTCCTAATACTTCACAGGCATACAATCAGAGTATCATTACACTCATAGAATCTGTGAATCAGGACTTCAGATATGGCCTGACTCTGCAACATGCTGTCAGGAGACTGAGCTGGCTTACTGGAAATGTGAGGTTGACTGGAATAAGTGGAGGCTTCTAAACTCACATTTCTGATGCCTGGGCTGAGATGAAGCTTGGCTCAGCTATGACTGCTAATCGGAGCATCTCTGTGGGACCTCCCATTGTGTTTGGACTTCCTCACAACATGGCAACTTCAGATAGCTCTACTTTCTACATGATGAGGATACCTGAGGACTCCCACAGCCAATGTGTCAGCAAACTTGAAAGCCATGTTGTGAGGGAGTCTGAGCTATCCTGTCCTGCAGGATACTCTGAATGATCACCACAGAAATGCAGCTTCTTAAGAGACCTCAGGCAGCATTGCATGCAGCAGAGACTCACCCAGCTGACCCACTGACCCGTAGGAAAGAATGAACTGCTGTCACTTTAAGCCATCATGTTTTGTCAATAAGCCCTTGAGAGCAGGGATCCTGTTGGGTTCATCATGATAGGCATTTACTAAAAGGATGGATGGACTCTCATCAAGTTCATTGAGCCACACTGGTCTAGGAGTTCTTAGCAATAGCCATGGTAAGCACTAGAAGCCAGGGTTGCAGAGGTGGGGCATGTGGGCTTGGATTCCAACTACTAGCCAATACAGCTCTCTTGTGAAAATTGGACGAAAGGTCCCCACTCTGAGGAGACTAATTACTAGAAAAAAGTGAGCCTGCTGGGTGGATAGAGGCCCAGGGACACATGGTTTGGCGAGCAGACTATAGGCCCTATGCAAGCCCCACCTGCCTCCTTGGCCAAATGCCTTTGTGCAGTGGCCAACCTGCACAATTATTCAAGGCTTCCCTGTTTCGCACCCTGCAGACATTCCTTCCTTCTTCCTTGGTAAGAGCAGCCCAATTTTCTTACTGCAAGCCACAATGTCCTTCAGAGGAGGCCCATTGATTCCACAGCTGCAGGGGGCAACGATTTATTGATCTGAAGCTAAGTTAACCCAGGGTCTAATTCACCATGCCTTATAAGGGGTCAGAGGGCATGCGACACCCTTCTGGCCAATGAGACATGGGACCAGTTGCAGGGATATTTGGAAGTTTTCCCACACTCTTCAAAGGGGACATAAGATAAGAACAAATTTCTTTTTACTGCCTTGGAAAGAGGATATCTGTGCAACATCTGGGTATGTGGCAGCCCTCTTGGGATCAAAAGGAGCATATGGAAGCTGATTTAAGAGATTACGGCAGCTCAATAAGATGGATGGTACTGGGGTTGCTGATGACCTGTTGAGTTGCTGAATTAACCCTGGAAACCTGCCGTCTCTGGTCATGCTGTGTGAGACTCATGAATACGTTATTTAAAAAAGTTAGTTGGGACTTCTGTTGCTTGCACCCTGAAGCATTATGGTACAAGAGGGAAGCCCCCTGGAACATGTAACAATGTGCTCCTCATACCAGGGAACTGATCTTGGGGAAGTCCGAAAAGAAGAATGGGGTGCCGAGAACCAGCCAACATCAGTGCTTGAGGAGTGGGGACAGGTCGGCAGGGATCCCAATCCACTCTGGCAGGAAGGCTGCCTCTGGCTTAAAGACTTTGAGGAAGGGAGAGTCTGGGAGGGTGTAATTGGCTAGGTAGATGGTCTCTCCACCCGCGAGATAGGCGGCCCAGATCCCGAAGGTCCCAATGGTCATGACGGTGTGGTTACACTGCGTGAGCAAGGCAAAATCCTTGGCGGGCGAGCCCTCGTTGCCATTGCCGGCAAAGACCACGTCGCCGCGGGAGGCGTTGATGTTTTCCCGACACCAGGCCATGCCATTGCTGGAGACCACAAAGATGGGTGAGCTGTAGCGAGCGCGGAACCAGTCCAGGGCCTGCTGCAGGTATCGCCGGTCGGCCACCACGCCCTTCCACACGTTGGGCATAACGTGGACGTAGTCCCCTCGGCGCACGTGGACCCCCACGTAGGTGCTCGGCCGGCTGCCATTCACCCGCAGACCCCGCAGGAAGTTCTGGGCCTCCTCACGCACGTGGGCATGCAGGGTGAACTCCTGGAGGATCTCGGTGCGGAGGTGGTGGTAGAAGGTCCAGGAGCAGGGGTAGCCGGTGAGGCGCACGTACTCCCCGGGGATGTGGCGGTACTGCTCCTCCATCCAGTCGTTCAGGTGGTAATTCCGCCAGGGGATGCTCCTGGCCGTGGCGTCGTGCAGGACCGGGAGTGTGATTCGGAAGATGGGGGCCAGCGTGCTGTGCATCTGGGGTGGGATGAAGGCGGCGCGCCCGTTCATCTTGGCCAGGGCGTATAGGGTGGCGTACTCCCCCATCTGGTTCCCCAGGCGGCCGATGGCGTTGATGGTCCACATGCCCTTCAGCTGGGGCCTCAGCTGGGGGCGCGAGGGGGTCTCCGTAGTTGCTGGCTGCAGTGCCTCTAACTCCCATGTGGGTTGCATCTTCTCTAGCCTCTGATGAAGGTGAAATATGGTGGAAGCCGTGAAGACAAAGAGGATGAAGGGGGCCGTGGGGAAGAAGAAAAATGTCTGCGTGCTGAGCATGGCTGTCTGGGGAGGGAGAGCAGGGAACGGTTAGCTGAGGGGAGGGAGGCCCTGGGGTTGTACATGAAGCTGGCAGCACAGCTGTGTGTGCAGACATTGTGGGGAATATGTGCTTGTGGATTGACTCTACCTGTGCATGGACGTGTGAGTGCTCATGTACACATATGCAGGTATATCTCTGGAGTGTGTGTTACATGATTGTGTTTCCATTGGATTCACGTGTGCATGTTTACACATGTATGTGCATTGTGTGTATATATATACACATGACATGTGTGTTTCATGAGTATATATGGTATCTTTACATTGTGCACCTATGGTCTGGGAAATTGTGTGCATACGAATGAAGATTGTATTGTATTGTATGGCTGTGTATATAGAGGCACACTTGATTCTATTGCGCTTCATGATTACTGTCTGTCTTTTACAAATTGAAGGTTTGCAGCAACCCCAGGCTGTCAGATGATGGTGAGCATCTTTTAGCAATCACCTGTTTTTTAATTAAGTTATGTACATTCGGTTTGTTTTTTAAGACATAAAGCTATTGCACACCTAATAGACTACAGTATAGGGTAAATGCAACTTTTATATGCACCAGGAAACCAAAACCAAATCAACAATTTATGTTGTTGCAATATTTGCTTAATTGTTGTGGTTCTGGTATCAAACTCAAAATATCTGAGTGATATTTGTATTGTGTACATACCAAGTATGTACTAAATATGTGGTGTGAGGGTGGTTGTGAACAAATACCACATGTGTATGTGTGAGCATATGCGTACACTATGCATATACAAATTGTATGCTGAAATGTGGATGTTTATTGACTGTGAGTATGCATGTGTGTGTGTATGCTCAGTCATGTCTGACTCTTTGTGACCCCTTGGACTGCAGCCTGCCAGGCTAGGAACTGGGAACAAAGACCCAGAGTTCATACTATGAAACCACAGCAGGCAGTGTGGAAAGGGAGAGTACAGATTGGTGTGGCTGGACTTATCAGATGCAGTCTGGAGCATAAGCAGCCAGTAACCAGTAGATAGCTGAAGAGACATGCAGGCGTCTCAAAGGAACTTAAACTACTGGTCAAGAGGTCCCAGAAAGGACTTCCCTGGTGGTCCCGTGGTTAAGAATCTGCCTTGCAATGCAGAGGGCATAGGTTTGATCCCTGGTTCGGGAAGATCCCACATGCCGTGGGGCAACTAAGCCTGTGTGCCACAACTACCGAAGTCCAAGCTCTAGAGCCCATGCTCCGAAACAAGATAAGCCAGCACAATGAGAAGCCCACACACAACGACTGGAGAGTAGTCCCTGCTTGTTGCAACTAGAGAAATCTTGGATGCAGCAACAAAGACCCAGCACAGCCAAAAATTAAAAAGTAAATAAATTAAAAAAAAAAAAAGAAATCCTAGAAAATCTGCTAATATTTAAACAACTGTACAACCTGTTCTTTTCAACTCTGGTTACAACATAAGTTAGTTCCAGGAGTAGAGTGGTTGCGTCAGACAGACCTTCTGAAAATACATGGGACTCACTCTGGTATTGAGACAGGAGGGAAGAGGGCAGGACACACCCTTGAAGAATGATACAGACGTTGAGAAAAACAGGCTGCGACAAGAACTGGTGAGAACCAATTAGGTCCAAGATGGCAGAAGATTCGACTTCCAGTAGACCTTGAGCCTCATTGTATGCTCATCGGAATAATTAGCATATGCTAAATGACACACCCACAGGTGCCATGACAGTTCCGAGACTGACTATATACGGTCAAAAACTGGGCGATGACCCAGTTCCTGGAACTCTCTCTTGCTTCTCCAAAATAGTTGAAATAATCTTTCCACTTCTTAGCCTATGAAACATCCCAGCTTGTAAAAACTAACCACCCCATATCTCTGAGTGGCCTCACTTTCTGAGATGGTCCGTATTCTGCCTATAGGATGTGTGCGTGCATGCTAACTCACTTCAGCCTTGTCCAACTCTTTGTGACCCTATGGACTGTAGCCTGGCAGGCTCCTCTGTCCAAGGGATTCTCCAGGCAAGAATCCTGGAGTGGGTTGCCATGCCCTCCTCCAGGGGATCTTCCCAACCCAGGGATTGAACCCATGTCTCTTATGTCTCCTGCATTGGCAGGTGTGTCCTTTACCACTCATGCCAACTTGGAAGCCCATGGACTGTGTAGCTCTCTGAATAAATTTGCTTTCATTTTTCTGTGGTTCGCTCTTGAATCCTTCCTGTGCAAAGGCGAAGACCCTCAGTTGGTGGCCAGTCCCAGGGACCCGCTGGAGACCTGGGACATGACCATCCTCTCATGCCACATGCTCCTGCAACCTCATTCGAGGAGGTCCAGGGCATTGAGAATTCCCCATCCTGGATCATACACCTTGACTCGGTGGTTTGTAGAGAGACGCAGTTAATTAAGCTGTTGGCTGAGATTATTTCAAAGACCCCCCCCCCACCCCGCACCGGCAAAGGATGAGACTTTGAAGGTACAGTTGCTGAGCATTTAAAAAAGCAGCTGTAGGGAAAGAAGAGCAGGGGAAAGGACTTGATTCTGACTCCCCATTTTGTGGCTAGAAGCCAGTAAGGATGTAGTTAAGTAATGTCTTCACAGTGAACACCTTATCATTGCTAAGATCACATCTAGAAAGACTGATGGACTTTGTCCTCCCACAGTCTAGGCTGGGCCAATATACATTGCCCCAGGAAAAATCCAGGTCTGACCACTGTTTGAGCAGGTGTGGACTCTGAGTGAATGGGAATGCCAGTGTCTGGGAAGAGTCCTGGGAATGACAGCTGTCTGTACTCTTGACTCTTTCAAAGACTTCCTTCTTCCTTCTCTGTGAACATGGACTTCCCAGCCAGGTTAAAGTACGTCTCTTCCTCCAGAGCAAGCTTTAACCACAGCATGCCCCGGAGGCTGTGCACCACAGTAGCTTAGAGATAAAAGTTTCCATTTGATTTGGTCTTGGTCTAGGACTCGTGTTCCTGGGCCGGCTTCTGAACCAAGTGGCCATTAAGAGGGCTTGCCCTGGTGGCTCGGTGGATAAGAATCTTCCTGCCAATGCAGGGGACACGGGTTTGATCCCTGGTTCAGGAAGATCCCACGTGCCAAGGAGCAACTAAGCCCGTGTGCCGTAACTACTGAGCCTGAGCTCTAGAGTCTGTGCTCCACTACAAGTGAAGCCACTGCAGTGAGAAGCCCATGCACCTCAACTAGGGAGTAGCCTTTGCTCGCTGCAACTAGAGAAAGCCTGCACACAGCAACAAGATTCAGTGCAGCCATAAATAAATAAATATTTTTTAAATGGCCACTAAGAAGAGAACGTTGGGGTTAAATCAAGTTAGGTGTGGCCTGATTGAAGCTGGGAAGCTGCCAGAAGCCATGCAGACCTTGTCCTTTTGGGTTTATTATGGCTGAGAAAAGTTACCACAGGACCTAATGAAGTCACAGCCTTCCTTCTGATTCATGTCACTGAAACCCTCTGAGCCCAGTAAGATCACTGGAGGGCTCACTTTCCAGAAGAGACTCAGGCTTGTCAACTAGATGCCTGGCTTTGAATCAAACCAACTCAGCTGGGGGTGTGAGCTCTTTGGGAATCCCCAGGTGTTGAACACTGCCAGAAATAGACGTCTGGGTGGTTAGACCTCCTCTAGCCCCTTTTGCATTGAAAGAGAGGAGCCAGGGAGTCTGGGTTTGCTGAGTAAGGTTCATTTCAAAGGACTTCCCTGGTGGTACAGTGGATAAGAATCCACCTACCAATGCAGGGGACACAGGTTCGATTCCTGATCTGGGAAGATTCCGCATGTGGAGCCCGTGTACTGCAGCCACTGAGCTGGTGTTCTAGAGGCGATGCTCTACAAGAGAAGCCACTGCAATGAGAAGCCCACATGCCACAATGAAGAGTAGCTCCCTCCGCCCCTGCCACAACTAGAGAAAGTCAGTGTGCAGCAACAAAGATCCAGCACTATCAAAAATAAGATTTAAAAAAAAATTTTTTTTTTAAAAAGGTTCATTTCAAAGCTCAGCTTTTGCTCATGAGAGTCTCAGCCTTATTGCTCACAAGCTCCAGATAAGGCCACTGAACCTGAAGCCTCTACTCACTCAGCCCGGCCTACAATGTATTTGGCTCGGTAACCACATCTCTCTGTGGTTAGGTGTGTACACCCTCCAGCTATGGGCTGTTGATTTCAGACTTCTAAAGCTGTGATTCTGGACAAGTGATTTCACTTCTCTGAGGATTAAAACAGTCCCTGGCACATACACACATGCAGTACATTTTTTATACTATCACATACGAAGCAAAACGTGCTGTTCCGTATGGGCTCTGGGTGCTTTTCCTATTGGGGTGTATGTGTGTTTGCATACTAAGCCGCTTCAGTCATGTCCAACTCTTTGCGATCTTATGGACTGTAGCCCACCAGGCTCCTCTGTCCATGTGATTCTCCAGGCAAGAATACTGGAGTGGGTTGCCATGCCCTCCTCCAAGGGATCATCTGGATCCAGGGATCGAACCCACGTCTCTTGCACTGGCAGGCGGGTTCTTTACCACTAGTGCCACCTGGGAAGCCCCTTTGGGTGCAGGAGTCATGGTCAAATCTAGCATTTAGAACACAGATCACACACAGCATTGGGAGAAGTCAGACATGATTGTGAGGAGGGCAGACCTAGAGGGGGAATCTGTTTCGTCAGAGGCTGGGAATTCTGAGACCAACAAAGCAGCTGCATAGGTCAGATACAGACACAGTGGATGGACCTGACTCTGGGGGCTGTTGTTCCAGAGAGTGAGTGAGTGTGTCTGTGATTCACCTGCCATGATTGAAGTTTGATTAAAAAAAAATAGAGTTGAGGACTTCCCTGGGGGTCCAGTGGTTAAGAATCCACCCGCCAATGCAGGGGACACGGGTTTGATCCCTTGTCAGGGAAGATTTCACATGCCACGTGCAACTCAGCTTGTGCACCACCACTACTGAGAGGTTGCTCTAGAGCCCAGGAACCGAAACAA